AACTCTGAGCCTTGACGATGAGGTTAGCCGTGGGCTTTGGTCTTGTTTAGACCATGGTGAACATAGAGGAACATAGTGAACCCCAGCAAATGTGAAGCTGCGTGAACGTGGGAAGGCATGAAGTGAGTTTTTTCCAAGCCACTAGAACACTTACCTGGGCTTCAAGATGGTTCTTGCTTTATTTTCCCTCCTTCTTTCCCTCCTTCTTTCCCTCCTTCTTTCCCTCCTTCTTTCCCTCCTTCTTTCCCTTCTTCTTTCCCTCCTTCTTTCCCTCCTTCTTTCCCTCCTTCTTTCCCTCCTTCTTTCCCTCCTTCTTTCCCTCCTTCTTTCGTCTTTCTTTCGTCTTACTTTCCTAACCGGGGCAGTATAGCCTAACCCAAATACAGTAAAAGACTACCTTGTTGTTGTTAATGTTATTGAGAGTTTTGACAGCTGGTTTCATCAGGACAAACTTCAGTCTGTGATTTCTTTCAAGAGACATCTTTATGTGGAACCATATATTAAGAAAAAAAAAAAATGTATTGCTATGTCAGAGAAGTAACTGATTTCAAGACTCGGTAAGAGCCTAAGCAATAATCCAAGCTCTGTATCTGGTTCTAAACTTCTAAAGATAGGGAAGAAGAACTGGATTATATGCATAGTCTATAACAACAACAACAACAACAAAAAAGCTTTGATTAAATTGGCAATTTTAGGTGTTGGGCATCTTTTTAGTTATATGCAAGGAAGATCTGTAAGGTTGGTTGTTGCGTCACAAGGACCATGCAGCTCCCTAAATGTCTTTTTCTTCTTTCCTGATTCTGCATTTAGCATTTCAAAAGTGAGCAAGTGAACCAAAATGGACAGATGAGTTACACTGCATGAAACACACCACACACGTATGTACCCCTCACAAAGGACTTGATCCCAAGTGAAATGGGGCAGTGAAATGAAGGCAGTTGACAGTGTTTTGAATCAATCCTCACCAGGGTGGCTTCATGCACGCCCCACATTTGCCTACAAGACGTCTCTAAGCACCTGTGAGCAGCAGGTCTGAATTTGGAGACAGTTGATGCAACTGAGATTTCCTGGATGCGGAAATATTCCACATTTCCAGGATGTGGAAATATTGCATCTCCTCGAGACATGCATCAAAAGAAGGGAGAACAATAGTTTTTAATCATTGCTTACCTTTGGTTTTGGCGTGTTGCATGCCATTAGAAGACTCAAAGTGACACAAGCACCGAACTCATGTTGTTGTATGAGTTCGGTGCTAGTTCTTGTGTCACTGTATAACTCTTATAAAGTGACCTTCTCTTCTTCTTCTTCTCTCTTCTTCTTTCCTTCTCTTTTTCTAAGGAAAAAAATGCCCTTTGACTGGCTGTGTATGGGACCTCGATGAAAGGTTTTGTAGCCTCTGATGGATATAGGAAGCCTGCATGGAATGGGAGCTTCCTTCATAGCCCTGTCCCCCTGTGTCTTGGTCCCGTAGACCGTGAATATCTGTAATAGCATGAAAAAATTGGGTTTGATCTGGGGAACTGCATAGGAGTTTGTGTGCAGGGCGAGAGAAGCGGGATGGGCCAGGGCAGGGGAAGGGCTGAGCAGAGGGAGGTTGCCTCTCTTATGGCCCAAGGAAGACTTGGATGTCATTAGTTTAACAAAAGTGTCCTCCTGCTTTCCTTTATCATGCTAGAATTTGATAGGGAAGAAAAAAGAAAAAGAGTTCTAGATATTTCGTGTTGTGAAATCACTTTTTTCAGTTATTTCTTAGTTTCCTAATTGATTTGCTCCACCCTTAATGGAAACATTGGCTTTTTCAATTGACAGGCTCTGTTGGCTTTTGTTTTTTTTCAGTGAAAAATGATAGTAGATACTATAGATAATATTTTTTCATTAATGGAAASTTAAATTTACAGTTCAAACATCGCCAGGTAATTTGTTATTGAAGGTGATCGCAACTTTTCCCTTTTTAATCAAACTCATCTTGTATTCCTGCAGATTAAGCCTCATCTTTCAGTTTTCTTCCTATAGAGTGTCAGGCAAAAGAGACAACAACAACTACAGGGGAAGCTTATTTTAAAATCTATTTACAAAAACAAGCTTGAAAAGGAAGGAGAGGATTTAGTCACTGAAGTTTAATGTCTTTGTCCACCTCTCACTGTGAGGTCTCATGCTGGACTTAAATTCAAGTAATTCCCATGGGACGATATCTAGATATCTTGCACGAGATCAGAGAGTTTAGTCAAATTTGGATTCCGCCTTTCCCTCCTTGGTGACGTCCCTGCGCAGGGTGATACGTGCCTTGTTTTCGCTTTTTTTTTTTTGGTCTAGGATGCAACATGGTAAAATTGTAGCCTAAATGCAGTGAAACAAGACATGGCAGCTCTTTGAGAAATGATTATTCTTTACAAAAATTATGGAAACAGAAGCAAGGCTTCTCCCTAACTTTTTATGACTTTCCTTTTGGAACTAGAAGTATTTTAATTAAAAAAAAAATAAAAATAAGGATAGTTTGGGGAATTTTTGTTTGTTTTGGGTTTTTTTTTTTTACACTTCTATAAAATGTAGGAAGTTGATCTGGCAAGTTTGGGCAGCTGGCTTCTAGAAGCACGTTTTTGTTGTTTTTCAAGGAGTCTTTTTGTTCCATTCGAGCCCCAATGAGTCACTTGCCGCCCAAGGAGAGGCTTTTGGAGGAGCCTTCTCAGCTGGCTCAGCGGGAGATGCTCAGGGCCCTTGGAGCGTTTTATTTTCAGACAGGTTTCTTTGAAGATGCTGTGGTTGATCATTCAGGTGAGCTCGTAGGAAACGGGAAAGCCACRTGAGTGTGGCACTGGGCACTTTCCAGTTACGTTTCTTGTCATGGTGGTTACTGTTTTACAAGCAGCATCTGCCARCTGCTCCCAAACTGTGGGATTTGGGGTCCCACATTTATTTCCTATTCCGAGTGTACAGCAGACTGAGCTATCTCATGCATAACAGAGGCCAGTGTTGATTAATGTTGACTTTCTAATGGTTACTACTGTAAATGTTTTTTTATTCCAATAATTCACAGTATTCTGCATAATAATAACACGGATATAACTGAATTATTTATACACGTAATGTTGGTAAATAATGATGAGGTAATAACAATGACTAATTTCTCTACTTACAGCAATAAATAGTGATGAGGAAGAGAAATTGCTCGGGGTGGGCTCAATCTCTTGCTAACCTACACCAGTTAAAAGATGTGTTCAGATATATTTTCATGCCAAAAAATGGAGTCTTGTGGGAGTCTCGGGCTCCAGAAAGGAGCTAGAGGTTACAGTGGTCAAGCAAAGCCTTGGTGTGACGTTCTAGCAGACATCACTCCTGTCATCCTTGGGCGTTTAAACAGAAATAAGAGCAGGGATGTGAATCTACTTGTATTTCTCCTTGCTGCACGTCACACTAGAACATATCCGTTGGGTTTCTGCTTTTTAAAACGCTGTGAAAAGAAGCTGTAGGAAGCACTTAGACCATTAGGTGATTTAGAGTTCGAGACCTGCCTGCTTAACGTTGCAGGAGGGAAGGTCAGGAGGTGACCTGGTTTGAAGAATCTTTGAGGAGGAAAGTGATGCAAAAATGCTTTAAATTGGGGATAAAAGCTACAAAACCAGTATCAGGAGGCTAAAAAGAGACAGATGGAAATTTAGAAAAGTCTGAGTTTGCCTGAACACAGTCAGCAGTGTTACCATTGACATGACTGTGTCCATGGCATTGCCTGGCCGCTGATAATCGGTCCAGCTCGGGGAACGTTGTGTTTTCCTCCAGCCTTGAATTCCAGGGAGCTGCTGCTTGCGGAGCGGAGCATGGCACTGGGAATAGGAGGGCCTGGGATCCATTTCCAGCTCTGCCACCAACCAGCTGTCCTCAGGCTGTCCTTCAGCTGCCAGCTCCCTGCTTTCCCATTTGTAAAATTGGCATAATGATATTTACTTTGGTTAGAAAGGATGTCACGATCTGTAGCTAAAAATTGGCTATTTATTGCTTTGTAGTATTGCTGCCCGAAACTGCTCAGAATCGTTTCTTGGCACTTTTGCAAATCCTCTCGGGTTCTGTTCTGCAGGATTTCACAAGCTTTGAGTATGGAAAGTGGTTTGTTTACTCTCTGGTTCAAAAGAAGGGAGGGGTCTCCTTTYGGGTTTAAGAAGAAGGTGAAAAAATGCGACTTTTCAAGTGTCCAGCTGCTGCGAAGCGCTTGGATATGGGAGCATGGTCCAAGTTGAGCGGTGGACATTGTCTGGAAAGGAGAAGCATTGAGAAGCTGCCTCTTCTGCTCTTATAACTCTATTAAAATGCCCCCCTTTAAAGCAATTGCATTGCTTAAAACAGAATGGCAGCTGTGGGACAGGGTCAGGACATTGGGAACCCTGCAGAAATAATGGGAGAGGAGACGTCTCCCGTGCAACTTGTCCCAGCCCTGGGCATTCCCATGCAAAAACCCGGGCCAGGTAAGTTGTTGCAGAGCCCTGAGCCCGGCCAGAGGGGGAAGAAATCCCACGTGCAGCAGTGATTTGGTGCCTGCAGAGCACGCAGTCTTAGCAAATACCGGGCTTTGCTGGGCGATGCCCGGCGCAGCTCCTTGCAGGAACATTTAATCAAATAATCTACTCCTCTCCCAGGCGGCTGAGACCGCTGCAGTTTTATAGTTACCTCCTTCAGCTGGAACAGTTCCTTTCAGCTGTAAAAGCAAATATGGAACATGGAAAAAAAAGTCTCATTTTATCAAAACAGACAGAACTGTTCCAGCTGCTGATATTAAGGTAAAAATAGCAAGGTTAAATGTTAAACAACCTCTGGGTGGACGTTTCTAACTACAAAGAGAGGCAGGCCAATTGCTCTGAAAGCCCTTTCTTCAAGAGAAAAGGGAAAAAAAAMCCTTGTTTTACTTCTGAAAATKTATTTTTCCCTATTGCTGATGATTAAATACAGTGGAAACGGGCTCCCTTGATAACGAATACACTGGTAATGTGTGATGCTTCCTGCCGCAGCATCGCGTAGCTCCAAGAGTTTCCGTGGCCAGATTTGAATGCTCCAAGTGCTAATAACGTCTGCTAGTCGGCCTTCCTACTGCTCAGAAAATTTCACTCCTGCGGCTTTTTGGCTTGTTTTGAGAAATCACTGCAGAGGTTAGTGAACTTTTCAATGTGTTGGTATTTAAACTGTGGTCAGACAGTAAGGAAAAAAAGGAAAAAGAAAAGAAGAAGAAGAAGAAGAAAAAAAAAAGTTGGTTCCTAAAAAGATATTCCCCGTTAATAGTGGTTTGTATGGCCATTTGCATGGGAATTGAGCTGATTTTGAAGCAGCCCATGTTAAAAYGGAATTCCTTTGACTTTTAACATATCTTGAAAAATATGGTGCCTTAAATGAAAAGATGCTTAAAACAATGCTGGGGTTTTGTTCCAGAGAAACATTTGGGCACTTTCACTGGGAAAGGAGGTTAAAAGGTTGTCAATGCTTTCTCCAGGGGCTCTGTCTGACAGTGAACATGTGTTTCCTCCCTTTAATCGGCTCGCCAGTAGCCAGAAAGCTGCTTGTTTTCTGCAGAGGTTGTCAAAAATGATTTCAGTCTGGAGACGATGAATGATAAAAGAGGTTTTCAAACACAGTTTTGCACTGTAGCTTTTGCAGTCCCGGAGAGGATGGATTGTATTACAATCTCAGTGCAAAGGGCCRTGTTCCTGTAGCAAGGAAACGGTGCCTCGTTCAACCTGTTTGATGCTTCCACTTATCTTTCAAAGTTGAAAAATAGAAGCTGGACCTCAGCTTTCTATCTTTTTTTTATTTTTAAATCATCCCCAGAGTTTGCTCCGTCTCACGAGTAAATTAAGTGTTTTATGTGTTCTGTAAAACTTCTTTWTTCCTCCCGCCGTTTCTGGGAGTCACGTTTCCTTCAGGAGTTTATAGACTCATTCTTCTTCTCCAGGATATTTTATACAGGCCTCAGACCTATTCCCTGCGAAGTCAGCAATAAAACTTTCTCCAGGAAGACTAGGTCTGCAGTCAGAAAGCCTGATACTCTAAAATACCGATTTACCCCAATTCGCACCGAAATCATCCTTTCAGAGAGCACTCATCGTCTCACGGAGTAAGTACCTGTATTCAGAACCCCAATTGTTTATTTTTGGGAGAGACTTGGAGGGATTAGGAAGTGGAGCGGCTTTAGCCTGCCCACGTTAATGCCAGATCCGGGCTGCTGCAGGTGATTTATGAAGCAGGCTGCCCCGGCGCCCCGTGCGCTGACGGTGCTGCTAACTGCGTGGCTTCACAAAGTCCACGCGTGACRTGGACATGTATTTAAAAGAGGGAAAAAAGGTAATAAGAGCAGCGGTGAGTCCAGCCCCGGTAGCTGCCTCTCTGCAGGAGCTCCTGCCACCGGGACCCAACGTCTCAGTGCTGACTAGTTACCCACTCTCCTGAGCCCTTTGGGATGCTCCGCTGTCTTTGTTCCTGCTCCTTGTCTAGGAATTCATATTTTTTTCCCAAGCTGAATCAGCTCAGTCTTTCACCGATGACCAGCACCAGGTTGGTCCCTCTCACCTTGCCCTCATCCAAGTCCCATCTAGTCTCGAACTCTCATCATCCTTCCCTTTGCCCGACTTCACCCTTCCCTTCCCATGGCTTTTGATACCAAATTTGATGTTGGCCCAACTTTCATGTCAGCTTAGTCCATCTTTAGGCTCTGCTGCTCGTAATTGTGTCCGTATTCCTTCTGGGCTTCTTCACAGCCATTCATCTGGAGAAGGTCTGGAGAGGAACCCCTCCARTCATGGGTCTTCTCGGGCTCCACTGACCTTGCTGGTCCCACCAACCTCTGCCGTCACTCCAGGGTGGCCTCCTGGTGCTCCCCAGAGCCAAACTCACCRTCCCCACTGGAACCTGCCTCATTTTGGGTGAAAAAGCCCAAAACCCAAGAGCAGGGACCGCCCAGGGAAAGGAGAGAGCAGCAAACGCCTCCAAGTAAGTGCTCCACTGTTGGTCAGACGTGCGCGAGAAAGAAAACGTGGTGGCTTGGAAGGGCCTGCTGTGCTTTCCTGTTCTTTCCCTTGGCTTTGGAGCGGGGCCGGCGGGCAGCGAGCAGTTCCTGCCGCGAGTTGCAGCAGTTCTTTGGTTGCACGAGGCCGCGGCTCCCAGGAACGTCCTGTTTAGTTGCGGCATTGAGAGGCAGGATACAAACAAGCGAGTCCCGGCCGCGAGCGCGTGTGAAGCGCAGGAGGTTTCCATTACCCTCCGTGGAGCCTTCCACATGGGGGAGGCTTCATTCCTTTCTTTTCTTTCTTTTTTTTTTTTTCCTTCTGGGCACAACCAAATTCCCGGACATTTCTGGAGTGGGAACTTGTGTTCCGTTCTTTATTATTTCTGACAATATTTGGAATAGTTGGGGCCCGGCTTGCTTTCTTTCAGCACCCGCCCCTCGCGGGACCGAGAGCCGCACGGGCGCCCGGCGCGCACGGAGCAGACGCGAGCGCGGAGCCGCACGGCGGCTCTTGCCTCCATCCAAGCCCGGCTGAAGCCTTGAAGCATCATTACTGCTCGAGCAAGGTCGTGAGCATCACCATGCCCTCGGCTCGCTTGGATCATGCTGCTTCCCGCTTGGAAAAAGCAAGGGAAAAGGGAATAAAGAAAAGGAGCGATGGGGAGCAGGCGGCACGTCCCGCGCATGGAAGGTTCGGCTCCTGCTCTTCCTCCTAGTGAAATATTTGGCTAATGTCATAGAGATTTGGCTAAGTGGATTCAATCAACTGTTTTCACTCTATTATAGTTCATAATCCCTATTCAAGATGAAGTGCACTGCAGCCTAATGAATGTGGTAATGGAATCCTTGTGTATGTTTTTGCACAGCAGGGTGCAGATTAGCATAAGTGTCATATTCTGTTGGCATGCCTGCTRTTATATCTGAGGCGTTGCACACACTGGGAATTTTTCGACTGGATAATAATAAGATGGATATGGTATGCACATGCACACGGAGCGCGCTGCTTTTAGAAAGTGATCTATAATAAATCTCACCTGGAGGGGCATTATGATAGATTAACTTTGCATTTTGGCTTAAAAACACGGCGTTTAAGCCAAGAGCGGGGTAACCTGAGTGCAAAAGAATGGGATTGGATTTCACGCACCGTTCTAAGGAATGTTGTCACGGAGGGCGGCCGGGGGCTGGCGAGCGCGCCGGCGTCCCGCGTGCCCAGGGCGGGCTCTCGAGCGCGGCGCAGGCGTCGCTCCTGCTCCCAGACAATCATTCCCGCTCGGAGATGGGGAAGCTTCGTGTTGGGCGGCGTCCCGGCACGCGGCGCTCCGGAGCGCGGAGCCCGTGTCCGGATTCCCCTAGTGTTTGGGTTTACCTGTTGCCCGGGCTCCTCCTCCCCGAGTAGAGCTCAGCTTGAGCTCTACGTCTCAAGTAGAGCTGGGCAGCAGTGGAAGAGGCCAGGACACGCTCAGAGCTGTAACATCTGCCTAGGCATCCCCGTCCCAAGGYCCTCGCTTTAAGGCCCAGCTTGCATTTAAAGTGTCTGGCTTAGGCAGGTCCGTAGGGCCAAGGCAGCCCCCGCTGAAACTGCTGCACATCACGGAGCAAAGGCAGCAGGGCTTATGATTAGTCCCAGGATTTATTACTTGATTATGGAAAGTGCAGGCCTGAGAAATTCATACCACTTAAGCAATGGTTTAGTGTGACTAATCAAAGAGACTTTCCTGGCACACAGGAGGTATCAATATATATGGACTAGTGTAGAAAAGCATATCTTTATGCTTTTAAGCATGGTGGCATGGTAACAGCTTAAGCATATTAATCAGTCCAAGGTAAGTGCTGCTTCTGTATCATATTTTAATCWGATTCTTTCTGCAGTGTTAGAGGAATTATATCTGTGGCTGAAGCAACATTTAGAATAGGAATTGTTTGCCAAGTGAAGGAGACAATCAGACAGTCACTTAGACCTGGGAATTAGCTATGAATTTCGTTTGCTTTTATTATTGGTACCTTTCTGCACGATCACCGCAAGCCAAACCTTTGAAAACAAGTGTCGAAAGGCGTTAATGTTTGTTTGGTTTGTATTTAGTCTGCAGCASCTTTGCTCTTGAAAAGAGCTGTCTGTTACCGTGGGTCAGTAATCCGGTATCTTTTTCCAGGGAACAAAACTTGGGCTTCGTGGGACTAGGCTGGTATCTGTGGCACAGTTTAGTGGCCAGTGCTGTTCTCTGCTGCTCTCTGAAGCTGCGAGAGCTGCGTGACCTTTCCAAAACTCAAAGAAACCCGTGGCTTGCCCGTGTGCCCTGCGTATTAGTGGGAATGGGTTTTCTAACCACTCTACAAAGCTTGTTATAAAGGAAAAAAAAAAGGCAAAAAAGGAGGCGGCGGGGGGAATTGCCCTGCTGGTTAGAAGAATGTAAATTGGAGTTTCCAGGGGAGTTCAAGCGCCCTTTGCAATCGCACCACCCGTTCCCTTGAACGTGGTATAAGGAGGCTGGGTGGCAAATATATTTAAGACTCCGAGGAAAAGGGCTGTTAAGTCGACCTTGGTAACTTAACTGAAACAGTATACGTGTAAATCCATTGCAAATCCCTGGCCTTTTACAACTCCCGTCCCAATGGAAATCAGATCACAGGACTGTTTACAAGAGCCTACGATTCATTTGGATAAAGAGCCATGACAGCATGCCCTGTATTACTTGGAATTTTAGTAACCCTAGTCTAAATAAATATTCTAAAAGCAAAATAATAAGGATTAGGTAATTATTATGAGGTAATTATAGTGAGGATATTTAGCAGATAAGAATCACTGCGCTGTAAATGTCGACGCTTTGCCGTTTTACATTGTCTAAAGACACGTTACTGCTCCAAAAAAAAAGAAAAATACATACTTAGATATCTTTTATCCCGAGCTTTCGACGTCCTCAATCTTTAAAGCTGCTAAAAGTCGCGCCATAAAAATCTTTTACAACGTTATTTAATGTATGAGCTAATCCCTAGTTAATGGTCAATTTTTGCCGTTTTCCTCCGCGGGGAGGAGAAGCGAGCGGAGTCCTCCTGCGGTCCCGGCACCGCGGGAGCCGCCCGAGCAGGAGCAGAAGGGGACGGGCGCAAGGGGAGGCGTCACTGAGAGAAGCACAAAGCAAATGCTGTGTTTTAATCTGCACGTCAGTTCATCTTCCCCACGTAATATTTTTACGAGCACGTGCTTGGAAATAGTGGCATTAAACTTGTGTGAAGTTGGTCTCTCTTCCTTCCTCCCCGAAGTCACGTTGAAGTCTTTACGGCGAACAGATGCGRGGATACTGTTAACGTGAAGAATTAAGGCTCTTGCTGGGAGCAATCGCTATTTCACAATCAATAACTGCGGCGCGGGAGAAGGTTTGCCTGGATGCTGCGCGTTAGAGGAAGGACGCGGATTGCTCCAAGCCCGGCCTGGCTTTGCTGCACGGCCCCGGCAAGGCAGAGATGTGGAAATGCGTGGGAGACGCCGCCTGTTTTCTGAAGAGAAGGACTCCAAATCCAGTGTTCCTCCCCCGGCTGCAGGCGGCAGGCCGCAGAAGGGCCRTTTCAGTGACAATCCACAGATGCTCTTTCACTCCCGTGTCTCTCGGCTCTCTGCGGAGCAAATGCAGCTGAGCTTGCAGGGACCTGCTGCGTCTAGGAAGACCCTGATCTCGCTCGCTGGAACGGGCCTAGGGCTCCACTGTAAAGTGTTGAATCCCCTTTTTGCACCCAGCAGTCCGAATCTGCAACCTGCAGTGCCAGGTGGAGAATGGACCTCATCTGTGGGCTTCTCTGTTGATGGGTTGTAAAATACCGCTGGAGCGGATGGTGGATGGCCAAGGGACGGCCTTCACTCCAAGAGAGGATGCAGGTGCCACTACAGATTAGACCCTGATCCCAGGAACCTCCTCTCCTTCCATCTCTTTCCAGCCCAGCCCCTCCAGTCTCAGTGCAGCTGGGCCCGGCCTGCACTGGAGCAGAGGGGCTGGGATCGGCTCTGTGGCCGTGTTGGAGACATGGGGTTGGTTTCCCAGTGTGAAAGCCCTCCGCRCTGCAGGGACGAGCTGGAGGATCTCAGGGGCGTTTGCTGGAGCTCGGGTTTCCTGAGTTTCCCTGGGCAAACCAGCCCTGGGAAGGGGCTGCTTAGGTCTGTCCTAAATCCAGCTGTGTCCTGGTGTCCCAGTGCCTGCTGTGGAGCAAAGCAGGGGATGCTGAGCACCCAACCTCCACCCCATGTGCGTGATACCAAGGGCCTTCCTCCCAACCAGCCTTCATCTGCCTCCCATGGCCCAGTGCCTGTTAATGTCCCCGTATCTCCAGTCCCTGCTCCCCCGTGGCTGGGAGCCGGTCCCAGTGGGAGCCTCCTGGCATCGGCTTGCGAACGCATCACTATCTCTGCTGTCGTCCTGCCTCTCTAATTTTAGCTCAGATGTGCTTTCTTTTATTATTATTTCTCCAGGAGAGCCATAAAACTTTCTTCCAGCTTTGCGTGTTATTCCGCTTTGAAGCCCAAACAAATTAGCAAAGCCGAGAACTTTATTTTCGGAGTTCATTAAGCCCTTAACAGTAAATCCTTTTCTCACGTTCCAGATGTTGTGGTTTTCTTGACCTCAGTTTATATTTCCCCGTGATGCGAACAAGCCAACGGCTTATTCCGGCCTCACCGAGCCCGCTGGAGAGCCAAGGAAAACGAGAGGCTCCGGGAAGGCTGCGCGGGAAGGAGAGCCGAGACCCGGCGCGACCGGAGCAACAGCCTCTCCAGGGCRACTCCCACATATTGAGGCCGTTTTTCCCGGTATATTTTCCATGCGTTTCCTCTCTGCTCTGCCTTTCTGAGGTAGCGTCTCAGGGCTGGCGTTGG